GTATGGCTCGGTAATCCTCCATTGCATAAAAATATCACATCTCTTCTATCATTGCTGAGTTGTTGGGCATTTGGCTATTACAAATTGTGAAGCTATAAACAAGGATAGATATATATTGCTGTAGTATGTTTTCAGTTCTTCTGGGAAATACCCAGAAGGGGAATAGCTGGCTTGAATGGAACCTCCAATGTTAGTTTTTTGCGGAATTTGCACACTGATTTCTACTTCCACCTACAATGAAGAAGAATTCCTTTTGCCCCATCAGCATTTGTTATTGGTTGGTTTCTTGATGGCAGCTATTCCTTCTGGAGTGTGATGATATCTCAGTGTTGTTTTAATTTGCGTTTCCCGAATGATGTTGAATATTGCTTCATGGTTTATTTGCCATTTGTACTTTTTCACCTGAGAAATGTGTATTCATCTCAGATACCCATTTTTGGATGGGACCTTTTAATTTGGGGGGCCTGATGCTTTTCAATTCATTATGTGTTCTAGATAAAGGTCCTTTGAAGAACAGTTGATAAAAATCTTTCCCCAATTTATGTGTTTTATTTTCACTCTACTGGTGATTTCTTTCTATGTGCAAAAACTTTTTTAATAGGATGAGATCCCAGTTGTTGATTCTTTGAAGTATTTCTGATGCAGTTTGGCTTTTGTTCATGAACTCTTTGCCTACCATACGTCCTTGAGATTTTTACCTACTTTGTCTTCCAGTAGAGTTAGTATTTGTGTCTTAACATTGAGATCTTTGACCCATTTTTACTTTAGTTTAGTTCATGATGATAGGTGTAGTTTAAATCTTCATCACGTGGAAAGCCAGTTTTTCCAATACCATTTATTAAAGAGGCTATATTTCTTCCAATGAACATGTTTGGTCCCTTTGTCAAGTATAAGGTGGCTAAGTGCATTTATAGTTGTATCTGTATCTTCTGTTCTGTTCCATTGATTCTCAGGTCTGTTTTTTTGGCAGTACTACATTGATTTTATCATAGCAGCTTTGTAATATAATTTTAAGTCTGGAATTGTGATGCCTCCTGTCTTGCCTTTGTTGCCCAGGATTGCTTTTGCTATCTAGGTCCCTTACGACTCCATACGAATTTTAGAGATGTTTTCTCTAGATCTGTGAGGTATGCTAATGTTATTTTGATCAGGAAGGACTGTATTAAATCAGTATAACAGTTTTGGGAATATGGCTATTTTCACAGTTTTGGTTCTTCCTATTAATGAACTTTCAGTTTTCCGAATTCCTTTTCGATTCTTTTTTTAGAGTACTGTAACTTTCAATGCATGAATCTTTTACTTCCTTTGTTAGTTAGATTGATTGCCAAGTACTTGATTTTTTTTTTTTTATATTATTGTGAAGGGTATGGTTTCCCTAATTTCTCAGTGAGTTTGTTGTTTGTGTACAGGAATGCTCTTGACTGGTGAGTGTTGACTTTGTACTCAGCTATGCTGCTGAATTAAGTTTAGAAGTCTTTTGATGGAATATTTGGGGTTTTCTATGTAGAGGATCATGTCATCTGCAAATAATGATAATTTAACTTTTCCTTTCCTATCTTTATTCCTTTTATTTCTCTCTTTTGTCTAATTGCTGTGGCTAATGTTTCTAGAACTACATTGAATAGGAATGATGATAGTGAACATCCTTGTCTTGTTCCTGACTTTAGAGTGAAAGCTTTCCATTTTTGTCCATTTAGTATGATATTGGCTGTTGGTTTATCATAGATGGCTTTTATCAGATCGAGGTAAAGACTATCTATTCTGATTTACTCTAAGATTTTTACCGTGAAACAGTGTTGGACTTTATCAAAGTTTTTTATGCATCTATTGAGAAGATCTTGTGATTTTTGTCTTTGGCTTTATTGATGTGTGGTATATAACATTTATTGATTAGTGTATGCTGTACCATCCCTGCTTTCCTGTGATGAATCCCATTTTCTCATGGTGTATAATCTTCTTGATGACTTGCTGCATTGTGTTTTTTAACATTTTATTGAGTATTTTTGCTTCTGTGTTTGTTAGGGAGATTAGCCTGTAGTTCTCCTTTTTGGTTGGATCTTACTCTGGTTTTGGTATCAGGGTAATACTTGCCTCCAGAAATGAGTTTGAGAAAATTGCTTCCCTTTCAATTTCATTAAAGACTTTGAGGACTTTTGACATTAAATATTTTCTAAATTTCTTGTGGAATTCAGTGTGAATCCATCAGGACCTGGGCTTTTCTTTATTAGCAAGTTTTAAATTACATTTTCAATTTCATTAAGTGATATTGGGTTATTCAAAATCCTTATATATTTTTGATCTAGTTTTGGTAATTCATATGTTTCTAGGACTCTATCTCTTTCTTCTGTGTTTTCCATCCTATGAAATGATACATTTTCAAGGTAGGTATTGATGATCTTCTGAATTTCCACAGGATTTGTAGTGATTTCACCTTTTTCAATTATTGCGTTCTTTTCTCATTTTGATGAAGCTGGCTGGAGGTTTAACAATTTCATTTATTCTTTCAAAGAATCAACTTTTTGATTCATTAAGTCTTTGTATTGTTTTCTTAGTCTCAATTGCATTAATTTCTGTTCTGATCTTTATAATTTCCTCCCTTCTTTGGGCTTTGAGCTTGACTTGCTCTTATTTTTCTGGAAGCTTCAGGTATAGCTTTCGATTGTTTGTGCTCTTTCTGTTTTCATGATGTGAAAATTCACTGATATAAATTTTCCTCTTAAGCCTGCTTTCATTACGTTTAATTTCCAATTTTATTGCATGGGCTGATTTCACTTCCTTTGTATTTACTTAAGCATGTTCTATGGGCTAGTATATGATGCATTTTAGAGAAGGTTCCATATTCAGTTGAGAATAATATATTCTGATATTGTTCGGTAAAACACTCTGTAGAGTCTACTAAGTCCATTTGTTGATAGGTTTGTTTCATTTCTGTTCTTTTCTGATTTTTTGTTTTATTGACTTGACTCTGTGACAGTGGTGTATTAAGGTCCTCCATTATACCTGTGTTGTTGCTTATGTTTTGTTCATGTCTATTAATATTTTGTCTTGTATAGTTGGGTCTTCCTGTAGTTGGTGCATATATATTTATGATTGTTATTTCTTCCTCTTGAATTTTCCCCTAACAAGGATGTAATGACCTTCTTTCTCCCTTAATCATTCTTGTTTTGAAGCTCATGTTGTCTGCCCAACAGGATAGTTAACTCTGCTTTTTCCTGGGTTCTTGTTGAATGGCGTATTGTTTCCATCCTTTGACTTTCAATCTATGAAATTTCTTTTTGAATTAGACCAGTTTCTTGTGTACTGAATATTGTTGGATCTTGTTTTTTGGTCCATTCTGCCAGGCTGTTCTTTTAATTGGTGAATTAAGGCCATTTACATTTATGGTACTAACCTGATATGTCTTGGCTTGTCTTTGTCATGTTATTTTTCTGCTCTTATTTGCCTGCTTTTCCTCTCTGTTTAATTTCTTGCCCTAGTTTCTTGGTAGTTTCTTTCCTAGTTTCTTGGTAGTTTCTTTCTGTTGTTACTTGATTTGTAGTCATTTTTGTCTCTGTCTAGAATATCTTTTAGTACCCTTTGTAGTGTTAGATTGGTGGTCATGAATAGCATTAATTTTCTTTGTTGTGGATGTATCTTATTTCCCAATGATTTTGAAAGACATTTTTGTAGGGTACCTAAGTTTGGGTTGGAAGTTGTTTTCTTTCAGGACTTGAAATTTTCACTACAAGATGTTCTTGCCTTAGAGTTTGTGTTAAGTTGACCTTAATTCTGATGGGCTTTTCCTTATAGATGATCTGTCTCTTTTCTTTAATAGCTCTTCATATTCTGTTCTTGTGCTGAATTTCTGGGATCTTTATCATTAAATGTCTGAGTATAGATGTATTTTGGTTATGGCTAATTTGAGATCTGTATGCCTCACTTGTTTGTGTGTCAGATTCTTTTTGCATGTGGGGCAAATTTTCTATTACTTTTGCAAATAGTTTTTTTTTTTTTTCTTATGTTGTTTTTGTTGGCTCCTTTCATTGACTCCCATTATTTTTATACTATTTTTCTTTGCTTCCTCTTGTAGCCGTTGAATTGTTGTTTCCTGGTATTTTGTTATTTTCAAGAGTTTTTTCCTCTCATGGTCACTAACTGCGATCCTGTCTTCAAGGTCTGATAGTCTATTTGCAGTTTCTTTCAAGTGGTTTTGCTAGCTTTCAGTGGGAATGTTGATTTCTTAGATGTCTGCTTGAATCTCTCATATGCATTCTATTTGTTTCCTATATTGATCATTCATGATTTCCATTATCTTCCTATTATTGTCTGTTTTCTTATGTATCTCTTGTAGATTTGCTGAGCATTTTATTTATAAGTGATATTTCTTTTTTAATCTGAGAGATTATTTCTGATCTAATTTCCTCTATAGATTCATGGCTTTGTTTCTTTACTTCAGTTGCTATCATTTCAGAAATTTCAGGTGTGTCTCCCCATTTTCTTCTTTCTGTAACTGATGGATTTGTTCTGGGTGGCCTGGAGGCCTGAGATTGCATTTTGCTTCTTCGTTTTGTCATTTTCTAGGTTTCAGTGATGGTAGAGAGGCAAAAGGAATCACATATTATACTTTTGTTTGGATAAAAATTAGCTTATGTGGCAGTTGTAAAACTCTCCGTACACCAAGGGCCATAACTTTTGAATGGAATAGCGGTATTAGACCATGCTTGTCAGGAGGATTATATATCTACACAGTTTTGTATAGTCTTGGCATTCACACCATGGTGATTCATCAGAGGTTTTCTTTTGGCATTAAATAATGGAACAAAAAGTAGTTTACAATATTTTGTTTATGGTTGTATTAATCCATGATGGGGATATTTTCTTGTATCAAATGTGCTGGTAAGCCAATTTCTCCCATAGAACACAAGCTTCCTCATCTACAGGATTGGTAAGGCCTAGCATGTAGCATGTAGTATTTGTTAAGTGGATTCTAAATCATTCTAAAACTATTTTATGTGTTCCAGGACCTGATCTTCAGGTTTGTATATCCAAAAAAGCAACATGTTGCACCAGAAAGATGGAGGAGAGATACCAAGTTGCAGCCCGCCAGGATCTGCAGCAGGTGCTTCAGACATCTAGCTCTACATTAAAGCTGCTCATATCTCGAAATGCTGCCACTTTTCAAGGTAAATGTATAAAAGCTAACATCTAGCTTTGAGTTGGTAATTCTGTGGGATATCAATACTGGGAACTTGGCTAGGTTTATTTCCTTATATTTGCATAGTATGCTAGTAAAACATGAAGTCTTATCTTTTTAAAACATTATAACTTGTTTTTGAGTGTTCCTGAACATGTAATTGAGTTGGAGTAATGAATCTTAAATTATTGAAATGGGTCTTAATCCTAAGAGGCTTTTTCCAGGTTCCTTGCTATGATCCACAGTTTTATATTAGTGAGAGCAGTCAGAATTATTAGATCTTATGAAAAGAATTCTGTAGTATAAAATCACATTGTCTTAAACTAGATTTATTTTTCAAAATACAATTTAAATAAATATTTGTCTAAGTTTTTTCTCTCAGTTTATTGTGGTTTTCATGAAAATACCAGTTCAGTGCATCACAGTGCAGACAAATCTGATACATACTAAAGTGGGAAATATTAACTGGATCTTTCAGGGTCAGCTAAGACCAGAACTCAACCTTAACTCAAACAATATGCTTAGAAATAAAATGAATAAGTTATAAAATTATAAGGCATACTGAAAAATACATGATCTTTGTCTTATGTTAATCATCTTCTATAAAATTTCTTATTGCTGAAATAAAATACCTTTATTTCTTTTCCCCATTATAAAGCATTAGCTATTCTGCATATGACTAGCATGAAAACATCTGCTTTTCAAACAGATATATTGCTTTTGTTCAACACAGAATATAATTTCTGTTAGTTTTCCTTTTTAATAAACATGTTAATGTCAGTCTATTTAAATAAATTGATTTATGTATATAAGACAAAACATTAATTTTTAAAACTATACTTATATTAAATAAAATTTAATACAATTTAATGAAGTTTAAGTTGATTAAAATGTGTATCATGATAAATCGATTTTTAGGTAGAATCTAATGATAGATTATAAAGTGTTATTAATTTAACTATTTTTTAGTGCTTTAGATCACAACTTTATTTTTAAGATTTAAAAAAAATTTTTTGGTACCAAGGATCGAACTCATGACCTCATGCTTGTCAGGCAGGTGCTTGTGCCACTGAGCTAAGTCCCTGGCCACAACTTTATTTTTATTATGGAATTTGCTCATGTGAAATTGTTGGAGGAAAATTTATTGATATGGATTTTAAACATTTGTGACTTGAACTGGCCAGATGAAAAAGAGTTAGCCACTAAATGAAGTTTGTGATGATTATTTCGCATGACGCTGATAGTATGTCCAATATACAGAATACTTTCCAGAGGTTACCAGCAGGTAATAGCAAAGACTCCAACAGGGAGTCTGCAGTTGTTGGCTTTGTACCTAAAGTGGTAAACTAGACTTAAGGGGAGAAAACATGTTTTCTTGAGTTTGAAAGAATTACTGAAGACATTTGAACAGGAGAAATTCCTTATGATTTTTTACCTTTTAATATCAAAACTGAATCTCTCCAAATAAGAATAAGTGGCTGAAGAGCGTTACAATTCCAATGTCCTCTTTCTGAGCAGTATCTAAACACATGGCTGAGAGACAGTGTCAGCAGTCAACAGCTGCGCCTCACAGGCTCCAATATTTTCATCTGTCTTCAAAGCTACTGTGTCAGACTCTTCACATGTTCTTGGATAAGTCAGTGAAGATAAAGAACTTTAAATCCAAAAGCTTGGGGGACATGAAATATTTATAATCTTAAGATGGATTGAGGCTACTAATGTTTTGGTGATATTGGTAAATGTTAATTGATTATCATTTTATTAGCAGGAATTCATTAAGATCTGGGATTGTCTCTGTTTGCCTGAGGGTTTGGTAATTTCATGCAGTTATTTTCTGTTTAGTAAATTGTACCTGCTGTGTTTGAGTTTTGCTGTGCATTTAGAAATTAATTATGAATATTAAAAAGAAATATTCTTAAATGTGAATTGTCATAATGTTACCATTTTCTTGCTTTAAGGAATGTAAAGTTTTTATTTAAGAATTTGAACAAGAAGACATATGTAGAAAACTTTTTCTGGAAGACTCATTTTACAGAAATAAATTATCTTCCAAGAAAATGAGCTTTTAATTTAATGAAAAAAAGTAGCTTTACACTTGTTTTAATGAACAAGAAGTATATATATATATATATATATATATATATATATATATATGCTAAAGGCCATATTGAAAGATCACATTTGCAGTATTATGACTAAGCAGACTAGTTTATCAGTAAATTCTGTTCATCCAGTTCCTATGCATTCAGATTCTCTGAAAAAATTCACTATTTTTATAAGGTGAAAAAAGCCTACATATTTTATTGGAAAATTTAGTTTGCTGGAGAGAAACGTAATAGAGGAATCAATTCACTTCTCTGTAGATGTAAATATATTTGCTACATTTTTAATTTTAGATATTTAAGTATTTCATTTATGTTTCTTCAATACTGGTAATCTTTTTTGAAGTGGTATGCTGGATTATGAATGATGCTGAACTAGGAAGGAGTTTGACCTTTTCTCTCCTGGGTCTAGGGAACCCATGGATGTTTTTAGAGCATTCCTCAAATATGGTCAATGGGGATGGTGACTGGGTCTGTGGACTTAGTGGATTGCACAGCACTGCCGCATAGAGGATGGAAGTTCAGTGACACATTGGTGCTAGAGGAAGCCATGCTGGCACCTGGTGCTGCGAGATTTCTATGGTTATCAGTGTATAGTTCACACACAGCTCTGGATTCTACCACCTGGCTACATATTGTATAGGCTAGAATTAGCTTCTAGAATAAGCTTATATTTTTTTCTTAAAAGAACTTATTAAATCTTGTTTCAGTGACATGTCCTTAAAAACAAGTAGCTATAAACAACAACAACAACAAATCTGTAGTTTCCGGACCATAATTAGGACTGGAATTGTTTTTATTTTTTAAGGCATTCAGTCATGCAGTATTTTATCATGCAGTTCCTAAAAGGAACAGGCTGCTATCCTTGTGTCTGTGATTTATAAATAAGTGGTGTAGCTTTCAGAGAGGAGCGCTGGCCTTGTCACAGGGCAGATAATAACTGTTCTTCTTTTGCAGGGCTTAATAATGCTCATGAATAAAGTGGCACAGGCTGGGATGATGTCAGAGTCTGTTTCCCTTCAGTCGTTTTGCTATGAATACAAGATTGCTTTCCCTGAAAATAATTTAGAAATTTTTAGAATAAATGTTTTACTTATTTATAAAGTCTGATGTGACTCCTGAAGAATTAGGGCAGATTGAAGGAATATTTCACCTGTGAAAAGCACCTCATCTAGTTTTCAAATTTAAATCTCCACTGAAGACAATAGGGTTTGGATTTTTAAGCTTTTATTTTTATGAAAATTTTTATTTTATTGTAGTACAAGTACATATTAAAAAGAAAATATAAAAATGTTGTTCTATAAAGGTAAAATTTTATAACAAAATAAGAGAATAACACCATCTCTCTCAATAAAATTAAAGTAGGTTTTAGAATATATCATTGAAAGCTTGCTTTTTGTTTAAGCATTGGGAGATAGATTAAGAAGTTATATCATTCCTTATGGATATATCTTTTCCTGTGTACCTTACTTTTGAATAGGCTCACATAGTTCTAAAATTCATGGTAGCTACTTAATAATTATTCTGCAAAACTTCTAGTTTCTTATATAGATTTTAAAATAAATGTTAGTGTAAAATCTGAGAGCTAATGATGTTTAGAACAAGAATGATTTCACATTTTTGTTTATGACTTCATTCTCTTGGCTAACGAGATTTTTATTTCTTGATTACAAGTACTTAAAATGTCAAAAAAAGCTCATCCTCTTGGGTTGAAATGTTAAAAAATTTAATAAAAATACATTCCTATATTTACTGAAATAAGAATACAATCAAAATTAATACCTTATTTTAAAAAGAAGGTGAAATAAGATGAAAAGATGACTTTATGAATTTTCCTCCTTTGTGGTAAAGGATACTAGCTACTATAAAGTGTGGAGTTATAATACAGCTGCTGTAAAGCTAATATCCATATTCACATGCAAATATATTTATTATAAGTAACAGAAGGACACAGTTAATATTTGAGAGAGTAAGTAGACTTACAGACATGCTGCAGTATTGACCATAGAGTACATTAACCTTAATTTTGTTTACTTCAGCTATGGTTTGCAGATAAGGACAATATTAAAATTATTCCTTGAAGGAGTAGTATGTGGAAAAAGGATAGACTAGTATTATTTCTGAAACAAAAATTACTTGATCAAAAACTGAAGGTTGAGAGGTCAGGTAGCCTTAGATGGGCTGTGCTGAGGAGGTTTGTGTCCGTCTCTAGCACTTTTAGGAGATTCCCAGCAAATACAGTTAAGTGAACTTCCTGAATATTGACAGAGTGAATAATAGTTAACAAGAAGATGGTTGCCGGGTAGCATAAGATTCCTTCTTCCACCCACTCTCTCTCCCTGCCATTCCTTCTCTTTCTTTTCTTTCCTCTGTAGATACTTTTAATAAATCTGGTAAGCATCTCTATCAGGTACTTAGATGATGCAAGGTATCCAAATATTAAATCTACTTTACCTTTATTGGCTCCTCTAGGCTTCTGACACCAATTGTGTTAGGTTGCCTATTGCTCATACAAAGTAACTGACACCCTCAAAAGGAGGAGAGGTTGAAGTTGACTCACAGTTTCAGGGTTTCAGTCTATGGTTGGCCGACTGCAAGGCAAGAGCACTATCGGGGAGCAAAGCTGCTCATTTCATGGTGATTGGAACGCAGAGCACTACCATGGAAGAGCTCCAGGGAGCAGGACACTCTCCGGAGCCTGGCCCCAGTGACCTACCTCCAACCCTGTCCTGCCGATTGGTATCCAGTCACCTTTACAGGGCTTTTGTAATCCAGTTAAATTGGCAGTTAAATAAACCATTACAGCCAAAATTTGTTTACTAATTTATAAACTGGAATGGGACAGATTATAGTGTTTCTTTCATTGACATTTTGAATGGAATTGCAC